TTCACTGTGTATGTTTTCAACAACAGTTTTTTAAAAATGTTTACGTTCTTAGCAGCAATCTGGCATTTACTGAGCACTGGTTTATAGGGCAAAACAAGGATCTTTGAGAGTGTCCTCAAGGGAGGGGCATGGCCTATGGGTCTATAACAAAGCAAAAAGAGGTCAAGGGGATTTCTCGATTGTGCAAATTTTTATTTGTAGTATGCAGATTGAAATGATTGAAAATGGCTACGTTCCTCTCCACGTTCCCCGCTCCCCGCTCCCACACACACACCAGCTGCCTCAGCCACTGGGAGACTTCAGGGGGCTGATGTGGGCTCAAGGTTGCTGTTGTTAGATGTTGTCAAGTCAATTCCAACTCTTCGAGACCCCACGTCACAGAGTAGAACTGCTCCCTAAGGTTCCCTTAGACCTACGAGCCACTCTTCATGAGAAAGATGAGGCTGAATACTCCTATAAAGATGGACAGTCTCAGATACCCTGCAAAGGGTCACTATGAGTCAGAATTGTCTCGATGGCATGTGTTTGGCTTTGGTACTCTTTACGGAAGAAGTCCTGATACTGTAGTGGGATAAGCATTGCGTTTCTAACAGAAAGGTCAGAGGTTCAAACCCACCAGTTGCTCTGTTGGGAGAAAGATGAGGCTATGCGCTCCCGTAAAGATGCAGAGCCTCAGAAACCCTAGAGAGCAGCTCTACCCTGTCCTAGAGGATGGCAACTTAACAGAATCAACTTGTAAAGTTGTCAGAATCAACTTAACGGCAGAAGGTTTGGCCTTGGTTTTGGTAATCGTTTCTCTGAAGGAGACTCTAGGTGGATTCGAACCACCAACCTTTTGGTTTATAGCTGAGCACTTAACTATTGAGCCACCAGGGCATGAGGAAACCAAGTCAGGGAAACTGTGCAGGGTGGAGGTGGGAGGGGTGGGACTGGTCCCCAGGCCTGCGTGTGTTTGGGAATCCAGCTGTCAACTGATTGAGATACAGACACCCCCCACCCCTCAGGAGGGGACTCCCAGTTATGGCCAGCACTGCCATGCCAGCCTTTTTGGCTCCCAGCAGCCCCTGTTGCCTGGAGGAAGCCATGACTTCAGAAGACCTCTGGGCAGGGGGCAAAGACACTGATACTTAAAGGAAAGGGTAGGATCTCTGCAGCAGCCCCCCAAGCTGGTCTCCCTACCACACCCGGGCTCCACAGGCTATTTTCTGAACCACAGCCATAGTGATCCCATGAAAACCTAAATCAGGTCCTGCCTCTTCCTCTCAAACTCTCCATAGCGCCCACTTCCCTTGAGAAGAGTCAGCCTTCCAGACTCTCTAGAACCCTAAATGGCTTGGCCCCACTACCCTTCTGGCCTCCTCCTCTTCCATTTTCTGCCCCTCATTTACTCCATTTCAGCTTCCTGAGATATTCTCATGGTTTGTTTGGACCCTTGATCACAGTTCCCACCACTTCCATCCACTTCTCCCATTTCATTGTTCTTAACACAGCCCACTTCCCAGCATATCCAGTGTCTTCTTGCTTGTTCATTTTCTGTCTGTCTCATAAGAGGTGAGCTCCCGGAGAGAAGGGCTTTGTCTGTTCACTGCTGTGTTCTCAGACTTTAGTAGGGCCTGGCATTTGCTGACTAAATTAATGAAAACAGAGACTAGCACATGGGCAGA